GCTCACGGGCCCAGCCGCTCCGTGGCATGTGGGATCCTCCCGGACCGGGGCACGAACCCGTGTCCCCTGCATCGGCAGGTGGACTCTCAACCAATGCGCCACCAGGGAAGCCCCAGTTTCTTGACTTAAATTAACTACAACCATAGAGGAGGTACTCGAAAGTTCTGTTTCTTGATCTTCATGCTACGAAGCGAAATCTGATCTCTGAAAAAACGCATCATGCTATATACACTTATGTTTCAGGTACTTTTCTATATATGTGTAATATTTCAATGAAAAAATGTTTAGACAAAATTAATTATAGCTTTACTCTAAGTACTTCCCAAATGCTGGGAACACAGTGAAAAATACATTGAACTTTACATGTTTGAAACAGTAAATATCTAAACAAAGACAGAGAATGATTTTTACAAGTATTAAATGCTGTCAAATCAAACAAGGTATGTGATAGAGACATGGAGATGTGGTGAGCTATTCTGGATAGGACATTCTGAGAGGTATCTCTAAGGCTTTTGAGCTGAAACTTGAATGGCTAGAAGGATGTTTGAAACATGAGTTATCACATATAGTACGATAAAGATAGTAGGAACCAAAACTGAGGAGACCTAACACAGTAGTAAGGTTGCCCTGTTGGAGGGTTAGATAGAAAATCAATGTGGCTGGAATGTAGATAAATGAAGACAATTGATTGACATTAAATTTCAGAGCCTGGAAGAGGCCAGACTAGATGGGCTGTGAGAGTAGGTTTTAATTTATTCTAATACTACTTATTTTGTGTTGAATGCCACTTGTCTACCTGATTATTTTTTTTCAAAACCTGCCCTCTCTTGTTGGAAAATATTTTAAACATGATTTCCACCCACCATAGCTGTCTACCCATTAAACAACAAATGCCCCTACAGTTATTTTGAATATTTTCATACAGCCATTATTTCAAGGAAGAGTTTTCAAACTAAAAGCTCTTACCCTTGAGACAGTCTCTAAAAGTATTTTTCCTACATTCTTTCTATTTTCTGAGTTAATATGTTTTGTCTATACCAGTTGTATTTGTTTATGTTTATATACGTATTTTATCATTTACATTATATATTTATATTAATACTGCCTTTTCCATTATATAAGATAAGGCCACTTTAAATTCCAT